CACTGTAATCTCTCAACTTTAGCACCATCAAAGCCTTTTAAAACTCATCTGATGAATTAATTCCAAAAGATCATCAAACAAAAAAAGAAAATCAATTACAAAATATTCCTTACACAAATCTAGTCATAATAGGCAGGCCATTACCATAACCTCTTAACCTTTGGAATCCATTAGTATGGCCATCTTTCCCTCCAAAAAAAAAAAAAGTAAAACCTTATTTCTAATTTTTTTTATCAGTACCATTTTTTCAATTCCAATCCTTCAACAATAGATCTTGATTCTAACCTCTCCAAGATCCACTTTTTGCTCAAAAATTAAAAAAAAATTCACACCACCTTCGCTCTGCTCCTCATCACTAATATAGGAGGCATAAAGCCCTTCCTCGAGATAGGAAGCCGGAAGCGTGAAGAGAGTGGAGGTGAGAGAGGTGGTAGACTGTTGCTACTTCTTCTCTGGGATTGGGGCCAACTGAGCAGAGGACAAAAAGTGAGGAGTTAGGTTTCCATTGGGTCCGTTTGGATTGACCATTTTTTAAAAAACAAGTTTTTCAAATATAATGTTACAATAGTACACAAATAAAAATAACTCAAAAAAATCTCATTCATGCGATATATCAAATATTTCAAAATATACTTATAGTAAAAATCTTTTATATACACTGCTACGGTAAAATTTTTCAAAAATACCCTAAAAAACAACTAATCCAAATAGAACTATTTTTTGAGATAATTCTATGATGGGGTTTTGTGGGACTCTGATGGTTGAATCTGCAAGGTAGGGAATCTTTTTTTATTTGAAACCTTTACTTTTTAGCTAATTATTGGTGCCAAATTTATGCATCTATTATATGGATGAAAAAGGGTACTTTTGGAACAAAATATGATAATGGTCCTTTTAATTGCCAAAGTTTAGTGGATTGTAGTAGATTGCCAAAAATCAAAAGTTGAGAGTTGTAAACTGCTAAAATTAAAAGTTTAAGATGTAACGTGCAATTGCTGAACAGTTTAGGGATGCAAACTGCAATTAAATCTATAGATTTGTGTGTCCATGTAAAACTTTTGAACCATAGCGACGGGCAGGATGCTACCAATTAAAAAGCAAAATGTAAATAACTTATTAGTGTACCTATCTTAATTACCAGTTTTTATATTCATCCCTAAATCCTTTTTGTTTGGAATATGTAGGGTATCTCAATGTCTTTTTGCACGAATAATTCGGATATGAGATTTTATGCCGGGAACAAATATCACCATATCTACTTACTTACTCACTCCTGAGGAGAAGTGACATTATAATTATGCACATTCTCCTCAAGAAAGACACCCCTACGTCAATTGAGGAGCACCCTAGTTGGAAAACGAACGGCCTGCAAGCATCCCCAAGGATTGGAATCTTTCCACCTTATGCATTCATAATTTGCATGGATTCTTTTTCCCAATTCGCTGATACAACCTAACCCGGACCTCGATGGATTTCAACTTTTATCCTCTCTTTACGCTTCAGCAGCAAACACACATTTAGGTAGTAGGCTCTTAGAAAGGTAGAACATTATCATCCCGACACGCAAAACATTATCTAAAGCGAACCAACCTAGAAAAAAAGCCTATTTTATATTAACTAAAACTACCAAACAGTCTCTCTGCAGTCCTTCAAAATTCCATCTGTTTTCGACAGATGGCCACTGGAGCACTCCATTGGATTTGAAACATGAATTATCCTTTGCATGCAAGCGTTGCATTGTGGTCATGTCTTTACAAGTGAAGCGGGTTTTCCATCCCATCCCTAACGTTTCCGTAGCCAAAGAAGCTTATTAAAAGACGAGGAAATTAATTTCAAACCCAGAAATGAACATCTTCCTCCCATAAACAATCACATTTTCACCTCCTCCCATTCCCATCCAAGACGCTTGGGTAACCATAAATGTACAAAGCCCAGAGTTTCCTAAAAGATTATTACTCCTCGTACTGGCCTCCTTCGGCCTCCGTTTCCCCTTTCTTTTGCAGTTTCCTCGTCCACGTTATACTGATCCAAGAAATTAGGGACCACAAAAGATTTCTACCAATAATGCTCCCACTGCTGCAAGATCTCTGTCGACTTTCATGTCTCCTCACCACCGATACCATACCCATCAGAAGACGTTCTCATCGCACACGTGCCTTCGTTACGATCCCTGCAACCAAAAGGGGTGCCAAAATTAGTAACCAAACCAATAATACTGGTTAAGTACTATTTTCTAAGGTAGTTGAATAAACCTGTACTAAATGGGATGGCAAAATGATGTTCTGATATAAATTTTCAGGCCGCGTGACATTAGTTTGCCATATGGACAAGTGATATCGTTTGGCAAATATTGAAATAGAATTTGGCACCAATTTATGATTCATTTACCTCTAATAATACACAAGCAACTAGAGAAAAAAAAAATAAACAAGAAAATACATCAAAATCATAATTTTCAACAAGGCCATTCATTCCTTTTTGATAAAAATCAACGTCATGCCCACTGGATACATCAGATCAGTCCACTCCACAGCTAAATTGATTAAACATAGATTGAAATCTTATGTGAGCCCATAATTGGACATCCAAGAGAAAGATGGATGTGACATGCAGCCACAAATCGACACTCTTCATATGCTCCGCCTTCCCCCCACAAAAAATTTACCCCGTATAAGTGGTCAGTTTTACATCATTGTCTTGTCAGAAAATAGTAAATTACAAGAAACAACAAAGCCAACATCAACATCTTCCTCTTCACCTCAGCACCATGGTATCCGCAGTCATTTTCAACCCCTCCATGATTCCCACATTAGAGGCCACCAAGTGAATTAAAAAGGCAGCTTTTTCTTTCATCGCCGTATATTTCTGTTAACCTGCTTCCCAAACATTGACTAGCACTGGTGGGGGAAAAAGAGCTTGTGGTCCATAATCAACCTAAAAGGCCTCCTCGTCAAGCCGAAGGCTGGTGGGCTCCCACCCAAAACTGACCTCATCTACGCAGATGTGATCTTGCGGTGGAAAAACGTACGTAACTTATTAAGGTTCCGTTTGATGGGGCGGTGTTTTTATATATTTTTTTTTAAAAAAAAGAACGGTTTTATGCACTAATAATATTTTTAGGATAGTTGATAACTAATTTCTCGTAATTTAAGAAGTCCAGTATTTGGTAACGTAAAAGCACTCTTGACAAAAATATGTATCAGATTGTAAGGCACCGCAATCCAAACAACCTCTGAGTTTTGTAAAAAACCAATCAAATTTTGTTTTGTTTGTATTACAAACACAATTTTAAACTCTATTTTATCTCATATATATTATATCACAAAAAATGTTATCAATATTATTTCAAATAAATTTATTTTCAAATAATCTCCTATCCAAATGGACCCAGTGATCTAGCTAACAAAGCTGGAAACTGTCCCAAGAAAAAATATTAATGTCTTGCGGTGGAAAAGGTTCATGAAATGACCACAACTTAATTCAACTGTGTCTTTTTCCCTGTTTGTATCTACTGTGTAACGCACAATACACCACCATTTGAGACTTGGGCCAGACATTTGCCCGAAAGTTGCATGAAGTGTAATATCCTTTTAATCAAACGGGCTAATTGGCCTTTTAGAATCTGACGGAGCCCACTTGATAGTGGCCACCCCAAGCCTGATGCCAGGCAAACTAATTTTACATGAAAATTAATTCCCTGTTTGAACCCACCAAGGAAATCCTGATTTCCTCGTTATTGAAAATCTTGTCCCAACAGCTAATGCTAAATAGATTATAAAATAGTATATTGTTGTTGGTGCTTCGATCATTTCATTGTTCTTTATAGGAAAGACGGTCCCTAATTCTAGCCACATGATGTGGAACTCTTCTTTATACGCTTCAATTTCCTTCAAAATTCAGTAATCAGACTTGGCTGAAATTTGCTATCCAATTAGGTCTTTGACCTATAAAATCGCACTGATTGGACAAATAAAAGTCCTGAACAATTTTATTTAGATTATATTTAATATGAAATTAGCGAAGTTTATAATTTTCTTTAAGTGAAAAGAATTGTAGGTATGAGATATTGAATTCAAGATCTCCTATTTATTTATCGGGAAGGGAGAGAGAGAGAGAGTGAGTGAGAGAGAGGAAGAAATGGTGAAAAGCTATTATCAACAGTACATTTTACATGTATCATGGGCAAACTACTCTGAGAATCCAATAATGTACAATGGCGATCCAATTATTTACGCAGGATCAAGTGATCTGCTGAAAATATTGGTTATCCGAATACAAGTGAGATTGGAGGAGACTTCTCAATGGATATGAGAAACCGATGCGATTCTTATTTCTTACCCGCATAGCAGTATCGTCTGAAAAGAACTGTGATTAGTACTAAACTGCAAAGCAGCATACTTGAAAAGGACTCTTAACGAGTTGTAGTACAAAAGGACGACCATTGGCCTCAGTCAATGATGATCCAAATAATCGAGATGAACTAAAGATTTAGGACACTGCAGTCTCGCAAAAAAAAAAAAAATTACACGAAAGATCTTCCAAATTAGTAACATGATGAGTTTAAGTGATGCGGTACATCGTTTGTGGAGAGTGTGTGTGTAGTATTTAAGTTTCATGGGGTATCCAAAAGTTAGCGCCTTTTGGGTATTCCTTGTGGGGTTAATTTAGGTATTGCATGTGTATAAATTCTTGACAAAAAAAAAAAAAAAAAGTGATGCGGTACATAAGCTTGTAGTTTGGAATTGCAAGGTAGGATCCCAATTATGACATTATCAACCCTATTTTTCAATTAAAAACTCATAAAATAATTTGTTTGTTAAGTTATAACTTGAGATTCTGGATTCAAAACCTCACACGTACAAAATTTTTTTTTGGAGATAACACTACTTGCCAAATTCATGCGCCACTTAATTATTCCGCCTTGATTCGAAAACAATCCCCTTGAATACCATATTTAAAGCAAAAGAGGATTTAACTAGATAAATAAGTAAAAACATTACTGACACAAGTTCATTCCTGAGATTGCCAAAACTAGAAAACGGTACAAGTAGCATTACAACTAACACAAACAATTTTGGGACCAATACAAATAACTTACTATTCAGCAATATTACAAACTAATCTAAAGAAGATTATATCAACTCAGTGACATTTAAATCCGTGGTAATTCTGTACAACTAGCACATTTGGTCGTTGGAGTACAAAAATATGGTTTTCAAGATACGTTTTGCTTATAGGCACAAATCAAAACAGGTTGATATCAAGTTATCCACCATCACTCCTTCCAAGAATAGGGAGCCCGTTCAACAACCAAATAGTCTCCCCTAATATCTTTCACAACCCGAATCTCATTGTCAAGGTACAGGGTCTCAAACCTATAAAAAGAGAACTAATCCCAATAAAACAAACAATGGAGTACAACATGTAAACTGCAAAGTTATAATACCAAAGACTCTTTTAGATTGAACCGGGACAAAAAGTTATAGTACTACCAAATAAGCACAAGTGAGCGATGGTCAAATCTATAATCTAGCAAGTATACGATCAACGATACTAAGAAATGAAAAATGTAGCCTTTCAAAAATTTATTCAACTTCGATTGATTAATTTATTTATAGTTTCATTTCCTTTCAATTCAACCAAAGAAAAAAAAATCTTCTCCCGCTTCAATAAGAAGAAAATGCAGCCATTTCAACAAAAGCCTGTTGGAAAAAAAAAAGAAGAGGATATCTTACCACCCTTGGCCAAAAGGAGGCAAAGGCAACTCCCAATTCTTCCCACGAAGGACTGCACTTGTAAACCTATAATGTCACATCAAAGTTTGATATTTCCCTACTGATGAAATACGCCCAAAGTTTTTAAACTTAGACTAAGCATTCGCTGCATTGGAAGCTCTTAGTCTTTAAAAGTCAATGCTTAGGAACAAGTCACGAGTACTAAATCACTTGCATATGTAGAATTCTCGAGTTGCTACAGAAATAAAAGACACTTTCAACCAAAACATCAATTTAAAAACAAAAGAAAGGCATTAAATTATTCAAGAATGTTCCCAGTAACACTAAAAGTTCACGAAACCAATCCCAAATGCCAATTCAGTGCAATATATACATGTCCAATTCATATCCTAAAATAGCCACCCCCATCTAAATAATTTACTACTACTAATGAGCTATTAAAGACTCTTTTTTTTTTTTTTTGCCTTTTTTTGATGGAAATTTTGGGTAAAGGGACGGATTGGAAATGAATTGCAATAGTCAGATTACTCCGATCTAAGACGAGTAACTTAAACACATATGTATGTATGTGAAGTACCTGAAATTCACCCGCTGTGAGGATGCGATTTCGATAGTAGACCGGACGAAGAAGACCCCATCAGGTGGGAAAGTGATGACATTATTGAGGGTTTTGTTCTGGACATCAATCACTTGCAAAACATCACCGGCTTTGGTACCAAAAACTGATGCGTTTTTTATGATGTAGAGCTGCTCTTTCTCCGTGGTCCACAGCATCCGCCACGTGGCAGAGAGGGAGTCGTCGGTGGTGGTTGTGCCCCGGCCGAGCTCGGCTACGGCATCAATGGCTTGGATGATCTGGGAGAGCTTTTGTGGGTTGGATTGGGTGTTGAGGCCGCGTTCTTGGTCACTGATGAGGGTGAGGAGGTGGCTCTTAGCTGAGAGCGTCTGGGGCTGGTCTGTGAGGGAAGAGCGGGTGAGAGTAGTGGCGGAGAAACGGTGGTGGTGGCCGAAGGGTGGTGGGAATAGCGGGGATTTTGAAGTGAAGGGTGGGAGGTGGTTGGGGGTGGGTATGGCGGGAATGTAAAGGCCTCTGGCCGTCATGTTCGTGCTGTGTGTATGGGTTGAGTGGTTGTGAAGTCAGTAGAAAAGAATCCAATTTGTGGCCGTGACTTTGAATATTTTCATTTAATCAAAAAATGGGTTTTTGTTGGTTTTCCATTTTTTCCTTTTTTTTCCCGATAATTTTCTGTTGTTTTCTTCCCATTTTATTGATTGTGATATTTTCTTATAATCGCGGTTCATAATCAAATTTTGTAAAATCTAAAGCAAGGGAGAACTCTAACTTATTGCTTTTAATTATAAAATAAAATTAAAGCGGTAGAATTTTTTTCTTTTTTCTTGTCAAATAAAGTGGTAGAATCAGAAGTCATAGTTAAGATCATTTTTTCTCTTTTAGTTGGAGCTTGAAGTACTTCATCTCACTTTGGGCATCCACGAGTGTGGTGATTATTCCTTTTATTTTTTTTTTTCTCAAAACGGGAATGGTGATTATTACTTGAGTGTGATAGGTTAATAAAAAGGGTTCAACTTGACTCGAATAAACTCAATGAAATCTGTTAAGTTCAAAATTTAACCTTTATAACTATGCCCTTGCGTACACATACGCCAATGAAGAAGGTACTAGCGTGACCGTAGATCAAAAGTTCAAACTTCTATACTTACAATAAAAATCTAAAAAATATGTAATTGTGCACCCCTATGATTTAGAAATGGAATCATCTCCATTTAATCTCCGTTGGGCCAATTAAGCCCTCCTCTAATATAATAGGTTAGTGTAGAAGTTGGAATTAAACATTAAAAAAATATTAAATTACATGTATACAATAGACATTTCCTAAAATTTATTTATAAAAAGAGCTTGCTCAATGATGTGATCACTTGCGTATACTTAACTAATATTTTTTTCCCTAATTAAGGTTGTATGCAAGTGTATAACTTAAGAATTTGAATTTCATTGTTTAGCAGCAAATTTGGACGAGTTATTTGATATTGTACCATTTAGGATTGAAAACAAGGAGTACATGTTAAACAAAAAGTGAAAAAAAAGGGAAAAAAAAGTACCAAATGGAGACATTCTATAGACACACCCAGGCATGACTAAAGAAAGCATCTTTGCATTTTCTTTTGCATTCATTTTCCCTACCATGGTCTTTTCATAACGCCTGTTCATTAAATTCCCAACTTCCTTAGTTTCCCTGTAACCGTACCATCGTTTTTGGATAGAAGTTTATTTGGATGATTTATTTGAGATAATTACTGTAACATTTTTTATGATGTGATGTATGTGAGATAAAAAAGTGATTGAGAAGAAAAAATGGTGATTGAAATTGTGAAGCAAACTATTTTATCTAAAATTATCTCAATCCAAACAATTGATTGTAGCAACAATTTTTTTTAAGGAGCAGGCAACAAATTTATGATCCTAACAAGAATTATTCCTCAGAGTCTCATTAAATAGAAGGTAATACCAGTGCCAGAACGAGCAGGTCCAAGCCGGACTCGGGGCACGGACGGTTGCAGGTGCAACCGTTCCGGACAATTTTGATCATTATCAACTGCGCGTAACTTTCTTTGTACATCGTGTAACTTTTTTTTCACATGATGTATTTTCAGAACAGATAGTAGTGGGCCCCACACTTGGCGCGAAAATCGAGTTACATGGTGTAATTTCAGCCGCACAAAATTTTGAGGGCAAATCTTGGCCCTTAACCGTGCAGGGACGGTCATACTGATGACCGTCCCTGCCCCAAATCCGTCCAAGCCCATTAATTTATACCCAAAATGTTATGTACGAAAGAAACAACAGCAAAGTACTAAACGACGCCGTAGCATTTCAAAGTACTTTCTACTCTCACCAGCTGAGCCCGGGGAACTTGAAAAACCCTCCCGAGTCCGAAGTCCAAACAAACAAAAATAGAGCAGCAGAGTAGCGACTAGCAATAGGGCACCCACAACTAATAAAAGCCTTCCAGAGAATTCTCTTCGCTTGCTGAGTTGCTGTGCTGCTGTGAAGTGAACTCGGTTGGAACTCAGCTCCACTGAGCACCGATCTAGGGTTTTCTGTTGTAGCTTCTTCGCATTGTTTTCTTCGATTTTATTTTCTTTGGTTGCAAATTTAAATGGCGATTGCGGCGCAAACTCCCGATATCCTCGGCGAGCGCCAGTCCGGACAAGATGTCCGTACTCAAAATGGTAAAATTTGTTCCTTTATATCAATTATCGGCTGTCTCTCTCCTTTTGTTGGTTACAAATATGTGGACATTTTGTTATCTATTGACGAGCTTGGCTTAATGTGGTGATTTTATGGGGGAATGGGCAGTGATGGCATGTCAAGCAGTGGCTAATATTGTCAAATCTTCGCTCGGTCCTGTTGGACTCGACAAGGTAATTTTTAGCTCTTTATTTGTTTATCTATTAGCTTAGTTTTGTAATTTCTTCTCTAATTATTTTTGTATGCGAATTGGAAGTGGTACTTGAGGCATTGAATTGCAAATACACAGAAAAAACCTGGGTGAGCCGGAACACATATTTAGGAAGGAATTGAAAATTGGGGAATATAATGGAAGGGAAAAAGCATAAAGTCTGCTTGCTCAAAAGATCAACGAAGGAAGGAAAATAAAGAAGTGAAAAAGGTCGAATTTTGCAATAGTGGAGATATTTGTTTTTAGTTCTACACTTTTTGTGCCCTACTGTCCTTACCACTAGTTGCTCGACAAGTTCCGGCTTTTTATTTGTATGAGGTGCCACTGGTGATCTGAAAACCATACAGAGTTATTTGTAGCTCAGAGCTGCATTGGACACCAAAAAAAAAAGCTATACTAGAATATATCCTTTGTTGATTTATTGGATGAAAGGAAGGAAATGATTAGTGTCAAACTTGCCGAAAGGACTTGATAGGTTATACAAAAATCATGGTGAGATATATATAGCCCAGTGCTAAGCTAAGTAAGATATGAACAGAAAATTGTCAATGTATCCTTTACTGACATCTTGATGAATTGGATATGGCACTGATAACTGTGATATTATGGTCATTATGCCCAAAGTTAAGTCTTGAAGTTATTTATATTTAACCTCATTTTTTGAGTGTGAACCTTGGTGTCAGATGTTGGTTGATGACATTGGTGATGTGACAATTACTAATGATGGTGCTACGATACTGAAGATGTTAGAAGTCGAGCATCCAGCTGCCAAGGTCTGAAGATCAATATCTTTTCCTTACTGTGTAAAGGTTCATTAGTTTGCCTTACCTGTGACTCTGCTGAAATTTCATACCTTTTATCTTTGCAGGTCCTTGTTGAGTTGGCTGAACTTCAAGACCGGGAAGTTGGAGATGGAACAACTTCTGTGGTAATTATAGCTGCAGAGCTACTTAAGGTAAAATGAAATTCACTTTTAATCCTGGCCAGATGATCAGTATTCTTAAAAGTTATTTGGTAAGAATTTAGTGATCAACTGTCAATGTCTGCAGAGAGCAAATGATTTGGTGAGAAATAAGATTCACCCAACATCAATAATCAGTGGATACAGGGTATGTGTTAAGTTTCGGTAACTTCTTCATCACCCCACCATTTTTGTTTTCAGAAATCTGTTTGTAATTCTACTTTGTTTTCTATTTATGCACCTTTTTTCTATTTGGATTGGTGGCAGCTAGCTATGAGGGAAGCATGCAAATATGTTGATGAGAAGTTGGCTGTGAAGGTATTGATTTGTTCGATGGTTTTGAAACATAGAACTGCAACTTCATTCCCGATTTTGATGCACATAAATAGATGCTAGTGTGCCTGGACGGTATTGACTGGATGAACTTATAAAGGAAGGGAGCTTATTCTTCGTCTTACCTTTCAGTTATTGATCTACTAGAATCTGTAGGAAGTACCATCCCACACAATTTTTTTGAGCTATAAAAACTTGTGTTTCTTGTATGAAATGATTTCTCTTGTCAAAAGAATTACTAGGCAATTACTTCTATATTATTAAGAATTAGACTTGGCTCAGCAATGCATACTGATATTTTAAGACTGGACTAATGTAATCTGTATCTTTCATCTCTCTAGGTTGAGAAACTCGGCAAAGATTCACTCATCAACTGTGCCAAGACAAGCATGTCATCCAAGCTCATTGGCAGTGATAGCGACTTCTTTGCGAATCTGGTATGTCAATTAGTATTCAATCCTGGGCTTGCAAATTATATTAAACTAATGTTGTGTGCTTAATCTAATCTCCTTGGAGTTAGTTGAAGGATCATTCCTATATTGATCTTTTCATTAGAATGTTGGAGGTGAACCTTACAAAGGTTCTTCTTTTTTTCTCCCCACCTTTCTTTTGATGGTTATTATGCATGTGTTGCTCAGATTTTTGTCATTTTTCATTGATCTAATGTGGATGCGAAGGGTTCAACTAGTTGAATTGTACCTTTGGAATCGTGTGAAACTTATTTTGTGAACTCCATTTGGATTTGCATGCTTGTGGATAATCCTAAGGGTTAAAGGGTAGTTCTGTAAATAAACTCTAGGTTTTAGAAGATCAAGAATCTGGTCATTATGCAAAACTTTACAGGTTTATATATTGGTTTATACTGAATATTTGCAAATTCCATATATTTTCTTTGTTGCTCTCCTCTTATGTGATTTGAGTTTGTACTAATTTGGATTTTTTTGGTTCATCAAGTTTTGTGCCTGTTAGAAAATCTCTTTCTCATTGGAAAAGTACAAGTGGAGTTGTTGTCTTTTTGGGGTATAAAAATGGTTGATTTGATAGCTGTGTTATGATTAGGTTGTTGAAGCAGTACAGGCAGTAAAGATGACGAATGCTCGGGGTGAAGTAAAATATCCGATCAAGGTCGGTTGCATGTATTGTTAAATTTCTCTTGGCACAGTTTGTTGTATATAATCAGATCTTAAATCAATTAAGCTTGTGAATCTGCTCTCTGTTGGGGAAAATGGTTTTCCGTAAAATATATAAAGTGGACTCTGTCGAGGATAAGAATTTTGCTAAATCCATTCCATTCTTTTGACTTGACTAACTTTTACACTTCCTCTTTTCAGGGAATTAACATACTTAAAGCCCATGGAAAAAGTGCAAGGGATAGCTATCTGT